TACAATCCAATAACCCTTGCATTTCAGAGCTAGCAGAAGCCAACATCAGCTTGTTCAAGGTCACCCCACCAGGGCCGCACCAGCAAGTCTGTGCTAGCCTTAGAGGTGCAAGACCCTAAACCCAACCAGCATCCTGTCTAATCCTCACAAACTCCTCTGAATGGGTTCAGAACTGTATTTTAGAGATGGAAAAAACTGAGGCAGGAAGAGAATCACTCACTCTCACACAAAGAAAGAAATCCAGCATTCTGACTTTGAGGACTAAGCTTCTTACCCCTAGATCCTCTGCGCAAAGCTTGACAATCTTCTTCTTGTGGGTCTCTCCAGGCCAGGAGCAACATGGGGGCAGTGCCAGGTACAACCTAGGCAAGGTACAACCTAGCTATTCTTCCTGGCTTGAAGCTTAAAAACTCCTGTGTGGAGCTCCCCAGCCTGGCCCAGGGTCTCTCGGTTCTACTAGAGCCCAGGACAATGACATTCACTACAAACCCAGAGCTCAACTCCTCCAAAGGGTGCAATGAAGTGAGTCCAGGGTCAGCTAACTGGGCTCTCCTCATGCCCACACCAGGCCCTATGGCCCTCCCCTCCCCTCTCTCTTGGAAGAAGTCTTGTAAATGCCTATCACTGTCAAAGGCCTGTGGGAAGCAAAGGGAAACACTCATTCTTGTAAGCCATGGGTGGAAGTGGGGGCTTGGGGTGAAGGACACCCAGATTCCCATCTCCCCTTCCACTCCCAAGGACCCAGGGATACACAGGGTCTGGGCTACAGGAGACATAGCTCTATGAGTCCCTGTGCCTGATGGAGGGAGAACTCTAAGTACCAGCTTCCTCTTTAAGCCCAAGCCAATGTAAAGAAAACACTGCCCTAAGAGATTGCTCTCCAAACTATCCCAGAAGCCACAGACACCATCATGGACCATAGGCCATTCCTTCCGTGTCCCTGCCTCCTTCGCTGGTGACAGCCACTGTTCACCTCTCTGCGCTCCCCTCGCCTCCTCCCCGCTTTGTCTGCCTGACAAGGAGCTGGTGAGGGGGAAGATGGAAAACCAACTGCCAAACTTAGAAAATAAAAACACCCCAGTCGGCTTTATTAATCTCCTGAAATATGCTCCCCAATTGTTGCCAAGCCGAAAGGGCTTGTGTTTTCCCCCTCGAACATCGTAAAAAAGTAGAAATGTTTACAAGGATGACTGGAAAACAGTGCAGTAGATCTTTCTGGTAATGTACAAGGTGATGCAATAATTGCTATGGAAACTAGTCATTATAATTCAATAAAAAGAGAGAAAAAAGTTAAGTTCATTGTGTTACCTATGACTCTATCATCATGTTCTTTACATATATTAGCATAAAATCAAGCCCCACTTTTATTCTCAGGGTTTTCACTGGCTCTGCCTTCACAAAAGAGTTTGTATGGTTCGCCTCAGATAAAGCTCCAAAGAGGAGACGAAAACTCACTTTGCAAGAAATTGCTCTCCTTTTTTTTTTTTCTTTTTTTTTTTTTTTCCTCCCTGGATAAAATATTTGAGGCTTCTACATAAGTGCTGGTGCAGGTTCTGGGCAGAATCTAGCTTGTGCATGAAGAATTTTACCCAGTGCGACAGTGTGTTCACTCCATGCGGCCTGAGAGGGCCCAGAAAGGGAAGACCTCCTCCCTCAGAGGAGAGCCCGCTCGCTGAATAAAGAGAAGGATGCAGTCACGTGAGTTGTGCCTCTGAGGTCGGAGCAGCTTGTGGAGGCGATTGGGGAGCAGGGCCCGGGGGATGCCTGGGGACCAGGATTTGGAGGCAGGTGGGCGTGTGTTCACCCCTGCATTTGTCACATTGGTGAGGTGCTGCATCTCTCGGAGCCATCATCCTCCTCCTGCTGGTTTCTATGCTTTGTCTTCTGGGACTGAGGTTGGGGCTGAGGCTGGGACTCTGTGACTCACATGTCTGATCCGTGCCAGCCTCTGTCCATAGGGGGCGCTAGAGGGAGCCTTACACGCAGCGCCCTGCAGGGGCACTGGTCCCTACTTCCTGCCAGCCGTTAGGAGGCTTCTGCCAACAGTGTGCTTCAGCCCTCTAGGGACAGTGGTTCAGGGCAGGCAGTCCTCGCAAGGATGGTCCGGGGCTCTTCAATACCCGTCCCCGGTTGATCCTCCGTACACACCCACCTCCAGTCCCCACCCCTTTCGTCTTCCAGCTAGTGAGCACCCCAGACTTCTTGTCCCTCCCCCAAATTTTCTCTTGCATTTCTCATTTGCTCTCTGAGCACCAGAAGTAGTTGCTTCCTGCATTTTCAGGCTCTGTATTTCCTGTTTCTCCTTCTAGCTGTTCTGCTTCATCAGCACCAGGTCTGCCGGTTTGCTGTACTAGGTTTTCCCTGTTAGAACCCTGGGGTGGTTTCTGCTTCTTACTCTGGATCTCACCTCTTCTAGTCCAGCCCCCATCGTTCTGACACTCCTACTGACAAGGTCGCTGCCTGGAGAGAGAGACTACTACTTCTACTTCTGTCCCCACCCTGGCAATCTTGTCCCACTAGAGCATGGACCCACCTCAGAACCCTTCTGGACACAGTGGTTCAGGCCTGTACCATTTGGCCCTGAGTCAGCAGGTGAGATGCAACCAATTTTCCAATCTTTCCCTGAAGAGCAAGCTCCATATCCGAGGTAGGACCTGTGAGAGCAATCTGATCATTTATCTCGTGTGTATTGTTGACCGTATAGCAGGCATTCTACCACCTTGCCATATGGAATCTGCAGAGAGAAATAAATTCAGCTGGTATAGTCTCCTTGGTGGCCAGGTTTATGTTTATTTTTGTGCAAAAGAACCACCGTGCATGCTTGGGTCGGCTGTAAGACCTAGGGGAATGTTTTAACTGAAACTTAATGCAAGCAACACAAAGTATTCTTCAAGAATGGCTGAATCCTTTCTTGGGAAGGAGAATGCACTGGTAATTTCAGCATAATTACACAGAGCAGATTCTGAGTGGCACACGGTAGCACTCTGAAATGAGTTGCTAATCTTGTCCCTGTGAGGGCAGCAATGGAAATCCTTATTTCCATGTGGCCATGGTCACACGCTGGATCCTGGGGTGACCCTGCCATAGACTTTTCTCCAGGTCCGCTCTTCTTTGTTGACATCCTTCACATTAGTCTTGAGCTTACCTTGTGGAGACATGCGGCGGTGGCCAGAGACGCCTTTGAATGTCAGAACTGGCGGTGGGATGCCGTTGGCCACAGGTGGACAGAGGCCAGGGATCACAGCAGACGTTCCACAACATATACGATGGCCCTGGAGGTCAGCTTGTTGTCACTGTAATGAAACCCTTGAGATTATCAGTGCGTAAAGAGGAAAGGTTTATTTGGGCTCAGAGCTGTGGAGGTTGTTCAGCCCTGTTGCTTTTAGGCAGATGAGAGGCAGCACCTTGCAGCAGGAGCTCTGGCAGAGTGAAAAAAAAGGAGAGTGATGCACGCTCATCATTCCTTCCAGGCCACGCCCCCAGGGGCCAGGCGCTCCCACCAGGCCCTGCCTCTTCCCAACAGCGCCACCTTGGGGGCTAAGCCTTACACACACGAGAGACATTCATTTGTGTTCCAGGAAGAGTCCCTCATGAAAGGCAATGATCTGGCCAGACTGTCCACAGTGTCCAGGATGAGAAGCTGTGATTTTTCACTAATGTTTTCTGTACTAGCTGTGACTTCCTGGCATCAGGGTGCCCATTTTTAAGCACAGTGCGATGTCCCTGTTTATAGATCAAATCATCAAACATTGGCACTACGTGGTGACGTGGGTACACGGACTTATCTCATGAGACTTGACCGTTGGGTGCACTTTGCAGACTGCCTGCTCCTGAGTCCCTAGGACAGCTCCGGGCCTTTCCCCCATCCAGGCCTGCACGTGTCCTCAGCTGCGGTGGCTTGGCCAGACGTGGCATGAGTGCCTCTCCCAAGACTTCCCTTGCAGATATTGAACTGCACCTCCAAGGCCCTAACAAGGAGTTCATAGGTGAGGCCTTTGGGAAGTCACAGAAGACTGGAGAAGGTAAATAGCCAGAGCCCCCAGATTGAACCCTGGTGGCTTTGTAAAAAGAGCAAACAAACCAGGAGACACAGTGCCCCCTGGATTTTCCCGGGATGCCTTTTGCCAGCTTGGGATGCTGCCAACAGAAAGCTTCCCCCAGGTGAAGACCCTTCTCATCCTGCAGCCCCTCCCTGGAAAGGGCAATGTGAGGGAAGAGTGCTGAGCTGCTGTGGCTCCGGACGCAGGGCGTCCCGGTGTTGTGATTCAGCTCTCGAAAGTCAGAGAGGGGGTGGTCGGCAACTAACCAAACACTAGAGACAAACTGGGTGGTTGGACTGCTGTCCTGTCACCAGGGGAACATGGGGTCTCTCCAGGCCATTTAGCGTGCTGTGACTGTCTTTTTGTTTTCCTAATGAAATCAATGCTCCCAAACTGGAGACAAGGAAGTCTGCAGTGCATTTTTTGCACAAAGCTAGTATCAAACATCCAGAGGCAAGAAACAGGCCTTAGCAACTTGGTGTGTCTTATGAGAGTATAGCAGAGCCACCGAGCCCCATGAGACCCCCTAAGGGGTTGTACTTCCTGAGTGGGAACCACATGAGAGTGAAGTCCATGGACATTAAAGACTGTTTGACCTATAAGGAAGAACAAAGCACGCAGGCTGCACAATTTGGAGCTAGAGTAGCTCCGAGTAGAAGGGAGAAGCTTATCAGTGTGACATGCAAGTGTCCTGGGGTCCATAAATCAGGCCAAAGACAGACATGTACTCAGTTGGAACATAAGTTCAAAGAGATTCTCCCCAAGTCTTTGGACCAGCACAGACGGGCCCTCAAAGCAGGTGGCTAGCATATTAGCCCTTTTTCATTACTGTGCCAGAAGATTGGAGGCTGTATAAGGAAAAGAGGGTCACTTAGCTCACAGCTCCATCCACGGGAGGGGGCCCTGGGACACCACAGTACAGCTGCACAGAGGAGCTTTCTGTGCCCATAGCAGCTGTCACCAGCGCACTGGGAAGCTGCTGCTGTCCTAGGTGGATGATGTGCATGAGGACCATGGGAAGCTGCAGCCAAGCAAAGGAGGCTGACCTAGGGAGCGCTGGGGACAAGTGCTCCCTAGGCTGGCTTTTGCCGTGCAGAGATGGCTGCCTGTCATTACCAGGCTGAGGCCTACTGATTCAAATTTCAAGCACAACCCAACTGGACAAAGGAGAGGTATGTGAGGTGGAGCAGATGCTATTAGCTTGAGGTCCAATTATCCCACTCTATAGGTATATATCAAAATGTGGCATGGTATCCCTTAATTAAATATACACAACTATTAATTGCCAGTTAACAATAAAATGCAAAACCCTAGGGCCCCATTGGTTGCATGCCCTCAGCTTGCACTTCTTAAAAAAGCCAACATCTTCAAAAGAGAGATGATTCAGCACAGCGGCTGGAAATGAACTTTCAGGGTTCAGAGTTCAAATTTCTATATCATGACTGTGCAGTCCTGCCCACGTTAGTTAATCCCTCAGTGCCTGCATTTCTCCATCTGTGAGATGGGATGTCGATAAGTGCATCTGCCTCGTGACCTGGGGACAAGGCCACAGTAGGCTCAAGCCTGCACATCCTTTAGTGAGGCCACGTGGGCCAGGAGCCACGCCACACTAAGCCTTTCATAGCTGCTCATTGTTGACATTTACAGCACCACCCTGGCAGGAGACAGGGAATGGCAGAAGTTCACAGTGGATATCTTCATTTTGCAGACGGGAACACTGAGGCACAGATGTGTTTCACACAAGCCTGAAGCCCCCCAGCAAACGCCTGGCAGAGCCCAGCTCTCCAGATCTGGCCCTCTCTCCTCTCCGCGACTCTCTGCACCCTCCCAGCTGGCCAGCCTGAAACTGCCACCCCTCCAGATGTCCCTTGCTGCACTCCAGACGCAAAATGACAATGAGGTGCTTTTTTTTTTTTTTTTTTAAGAGTGAGAGCGAGAAGGGAGCAGAGGGTGGGAGAAGAGCTGTTCTCATCACGAATTTCTCCCTGGCCCTCTTCCCAGACTTGAAGTTCCTGGCAGCCCTGGCAAGAATCCGGGCAGGAGAAGGAGTGAGTGAGCGGGGCAGCAGCGGGGGAGCTGAGGGCCCGGCACACGCTGCTCTGCTTTCCCAGGCTCAGTGTCCTGCCGCACCAGCATGAAACAGCAAGTCCAGCACAGGAGGAAAATTCAGGGTTTCTTGTGCACAGGCTACCGGGCGTCACACAAGGACATGAGGGGCAGCATTACACACAGGGGGAGCCCCAGACACTCCACCTCCTCTAAGAGACAGATGGACGCTTGGGACAGACGCTCCCCCGTCATGCAGAAAGAGCGCAAAGGGGGTTAAAAGACTACTCTGGCCTCTCCCGTGTCCTGCTGAGATAAAACCACCACTGGGAGACCCAGGACAATTTTTATATAGGATTAGAAAACAAAAATCAATATTTAATTATCTGTAAGCTTTTTGTGTCACTGAATCTTTAGCGCCCTAACAGGGAGCGCAGGCTGCCAGTGCAAAAGTAAGTCATTAAAGACGCAGCCTCACGGGCCATCCCTTTTTAGTGTCAGGCCATAAATAGAGCACATTATCACTCCTCACGTGCTGGTATTGTTATTTATCTTTACAATCTCTATTTACCTCTATTTATAGCAGATTTCTCCCATATATTTTGAGGCCAGGTTAACTTTCCTGCAGTTCATGAAAAGAAGGTACTTACAATTTTGGAACATGCTTATGTGGACAGATGGTAAGGTTTTCAGAACTATGAGGCCCAGAAGGCCGACTTGAAGGGTGTTGATTTTCTTTCTCTTCTTCTCTTATTGCCTACTCTTCTCGCAAGAAGTCTGTCCAGAGTTCTCCATCCCTGGCACAGTTACGGCAGCCAAACTGGAAGTGCAGAGCTGACGGGGCTGGGAAATTCTGATTCTGGACTTGTAGGTGTCACCTGGAAAGGGGTCTCTTAACTTTCTGGTGTGATGGCAAAGTTATCTTCCCAGCGACTAGAAGCCTGTGCATCCCTAGAGAAATCCTGGCTGGATTTTGTACCTCACTGTCTTATTTTGGCCTGGTCACACTGGCTTGTAGCAGTCTGTTCAATGACCTGACTCCAGTTCTCTTCTAGGCAGGAATAGAAGCTGGAACACCAGGGAATTGGCACTACCCAACACGGTTTCTGGCACATGGTCGATGCATGATGAATTGAGGGATTATAGTACAGAGAATCAGCAGAGTTAAAGTTAGAGCTAGCATTAGGTGGACCTCAGTTTCAGTGTCTTCCTTGGAGCTTATTACATAAGGGTGTTGGTCAGCTTAATTACTCTTTCTGAGCCACACTTTACTTACTGGGTAACTTGCAGTGCCCAGTGCCCAGTGCAGAAAGCACATAGCATAAGCTAATTTTGTATCTTTAACCCAAAGAGCCACATGGCTCTTTAAAACTAATGTGAATGCAGAGAAGGGGTAAATGAGCATGTGGATGGATGGATAGATGGATGGATGGGTGGATGGGTGGTTAGGTGGGTGGATGGTTGGGTAGGTGGGTAGATGGGTGGGTAGGTGGGTAGATGGATAGATGGGTTGGTGGGTGGGTGGGTAGGTGGATGGATGGATGTGTGGATGGATGGATGGGTAGGTGGGTAGATGGATGGATGGATGGATGGATGGATGGATGGATGGATGGATGGATGCATGGGTGGGTGGGTGGATGGATGGGTGAGTAGGTGGGTGGATGGATAAATGGGTGGATGGGTGGATGAATAAATGGATGGATGGGTGGATGGATGCATTAGTGGGTGGATGGATGGATGGATGGATGGAT